ATTTTGTCTAGCTTCAACTTCCAGCCATTGGATTGTATTATACCTTTCTCTGCTAGACTGAAGAGACTATTATTAAATATTTGTTCTCCATGTAGATATTTATAGACTGTAATCAAGTCATCCCTTAACCTTCTCTTTGTTACGCAACTCATGTTTTCTAATCCTTTAATCATTCCCTTGCCTCTTCACTGATCACTCTCCAATTTAGCAATATCCTCCTTGAACCGTGGACACCAGAACTGGACACAGTATTCCAACAGCAATCACACCAGTGCCAAATACAGGGGTAAAATAATCTCTCTACTTCTACTTGAGATTCCCCTGTTTATGCATCCAAGGATCACTTTAGCTCTTTTGGCCACAGTGTCGCACTGGAAGCTCATGTTCAGCTGATTATTCACCATGACCCCCATATCTTTTTCAAAGTCACTTCCCAGGATAATCCCACATCTTATTAATATGACCTACATTCTTTCTTCTGAGATGTATACTTTTACACTGAACCATATTAAAATGCATATTGTTTGCTTGCACAGTTTGCCAAGCGATCCAAAACACTCTGAATCAGTACCCTATCCTCTTCATTATTTACCACTCCCCCAATTTTTGTATCATCTGCAAATGTTATCAGTGATGACTTTGTTTTCTTCCAGTTTGTTAACAAAAATGTTAAATAGTGTAGGGCCAAGAACTGAAACCTGCGGGACCCCACTGGAAACGCACTCAATCAATGATGAGTCACAGTTTACATTTTGAGACCTATCAATTAGCAAGTTTTTAATCCATTTAACATGTGCTATGTTAATTTTATATCATCCTAGTTTTCTAATGAAAATGTGTGGTACCAACTCAAACACATTACAGAAGTCTAAGTATATCACGATTTAACACTATTTATCAACCAAATTTGTAAGCTCATAAAAAAATATCGTTAGTTTGACAGCATCTATTTTCCATAAACCCATGTTGATGTGCATTAATTACGTTAACTTCCTTTAATTCTTCATTCATCAACTCCCATATCAGCCACTCCATTATCTTGCCAGAGATTGATGTCAGGCTGACAGGCTTCTAATTACCTGGGTCGTCTCATTTATCTTTTTTAAAAATGGGCACATTCACAGTCTTCTTGAAATTCTCCAGTAATTCAAGACTTATTGAAAAACAACATCAACTTTGAGATCCTCAATCAGCTGATTTAAAACTCTTGGATGCAAATTATCTGGACCTGCTGATTTAAAAATGTCTGATTTAATAGCTTCCATTTAATGTCTTCTGAGATACTAGTAGAATGGAAAGAGTGTTATCATCACAATGTATCATCTGTTTATTCTCCAAATACAGACCAGAAGTATTAATTTAACACTTCTGCCTTTTCTATGTTGTTATTGATAATTTTACCAATGGACCAATACTATTCTCAAGATTCTTTTTCCCCCCCAATATATTTTTTTAAACTCCTTCTTATTTTCCTTTACTCTGCTGGCCACAGATTTCTGCTTGTGTTCCTTGCTTCTCTTATCAATTTTCTACAATTCCTAACATCCAATTTTTTTCATTACTATCAACTTCCCCTTTCTTCCATTTATATATATGGAGCTCTAATATATATATATATATTAGAGCTGCCTTGACTTCCCCTCTAAATCAGGTAATTTTTTAAAATCAGCATAGCCTTCTTCCTCGATTGTAGCTTTTTGGTCATCTAGAAATGATTCCCAATTATCATTCACATTTTTCTGATTAAATTCTTTCTCCCAGCCAATTTGGGAATCAAGGTAGGTTCTTTCCTTATCCTCTGTTATCACTTGTAATTAAGAATCTTCAGCTGTGTCTTCAGATTGTGCTTTCAGTGTCAACTGTATAACTCCAGTGATGTATAATTCATTAACAATTTAAATGTATTGAGATTCTCAGACTTAAATATATTTAAGTGCAAAGTATATATTCCCATAGTAATATATAGTACTATATTATTGTGACTCTTGTTCTGCTGTTGATTCTACACTTGTAACCCAAAAAGTGAATTCTTGTGGCTTTTATTTTCAAAAAATTTAAATTGTCAAAAAGTTTGTTAAATGAAGAACATTTTAGAATGATAAAATGATTATATTTTGAATATATAGTAATCTATTCAACAGAGTGAAAATAATATATGAAGAGTATCTAATAAAAAATATAATCACTAAATTTGAACAGAATATAATTGAAGGTAGGCTCTTTGACCACCAGAGGGTGCTTGTATTGTATTATCCCACCAGTACAAGAGAATTATAAGAAAAAGTTCATTATTCTAAAAAGTCAACAGTGTTATAAGTTGAGGGATAGAGAAGACTTTGGTGTCCATTCAATCCAGTTCTGGGGGAAAAAACTATTTGAGAACTGGTTTGGTCCAGTTCTTATTTTTTCCTAATCAGTTTGCCTATCTCTAACAATCATGCATAATCATATAATCATAAGACTGGAAGCGACCTCAGGAGGTCATCTAGTCCAGTGCTCTGCAGTCATGGCAGGACTAAGTATTATCTAGACCATTCCTGACAGGTGTTTGTCTAACCTGCTCTTAAAAATCTCCAAGGATGGAGATTCCACAACCTCTGTAGGCAATTTTATTCCAGTGCTTAAACACCCTGAAAGTTAGGAAGTTTTTCCTAATGTTCAACCTAAACCTCCCTTGCTGCGATTTAAGCCCATTGCTTCTTGTCTTATCCTCAGAGGTTAAGAAGAACAATTTTTCTCCCTCCTCCTTGTAACAACCTTTTATGTACTTGAAAACTGTTATCATGTCCCCTCTCAGTCTTCTCTTTTCCAGACTAAACAAACCCAATTTTTTTCAATCTTCCCTCATAGGTCATGTTTTCAAGACCATTAATAATTTTTGTTGCTCTTCTCTGGTCTTTCTTCAATTTGTCCACATCTTTCCTGAAATGCGGTGCCCAGAACTGGACACAATACTCCACTTGAGGCCTAATCAGTGCGGAGTAGAGCAGAAGAATTACTTCTCGTGTCTTGCTTACAACACTCCTACTAATACATCCCAGAATGATTTTTGCTTTTTTTGCCACACTGTATGTAGAGTTAAATTCCAAATGAATCTAAAACTGATTCTTTGAAAGCAAATCAAACAAACATCCATTTGACTAGTTTCCATTTAAACCTAGAACTAGATCACATTCCTCAGTGCTGGCTACTTCAAGGCAAACATGAAATAAGGTTGCTCTGACTGTGCTGTTCAGGATGGTTAAGAATCGGTTAAAGATGTAATAGGAAAAAAACTGGTGACTATTCTGAATCAGTTCCAAAAGCTAATTCTAGGTGCAATTTCTATATATATTAGATACCAACTAACAGGTGATTAGAAGGGGAGTATTGGAAGACAGGTTTGGGAGATGTGTATCATTAGGAGGATAAATGCTTAGGGGTGGATTACAAAAGGTTAAGGGATTTGTAGGGAGTTCATAGAATTATAGGGCTAGAAGGGACCTCAAGAGGTTATCTACTCCAGCATCCTGAGCTGAGGCAGGATTGAGTATACCTAGACCATCCCTGATAGGTGTTGTCCAGTCTGGTTTTAAAATCTCCAGTGATGAGATTTCACAAGCTCCTTTGGAAGTACATTCCAATGCTTAACTATACATTTCCCTTGCTGTAGATTAAGCCCATTACTTCTTGTCTAACCTTTAGTGGGACATGGAGAACAATTGATCACTGTTGTCTTTATAACAGCTCTTAACATATTTGAAGGCTGCTATCAGGTCCCTACTCAGTCTTTTTTTCTCAAGACTAAATATGACCAGTTTTTTTTTTTTAAACCATTCAAAATAGGTCAGGTTATCTAAACCTTTAAAAATGTTTGTTACTCCCCTCTGGGCTCTCTCCAATTTGTCCACATCTTTCTTAAAGTGTGGCACACAGAACTGGACACAATACTCCAGCTAAGGCCTCACTGGTGCTGAGTAGTGCTGAACAATTGTCTCCTGTGTTTTACATACACCCCAGAATGTTAGCCTTTTTTTGCAACTGCATCACATTGTTCATTCATGTTCAGCTTATGATCCACTCTAATACCCAGCTGCTTTTCAGCAGTAATACTGCCTAACCACTTGCAGCTGATTTGTCCTTCCTCCATGCAGTAATTTGCACTGGTCTTTACTGATTTCAATGTTATTGATTTCAAACCAATTCTCTGATTTAACAAGGTTGTTTTGAATGCTTGTAACCCCTCCTAGCTTGGTGTTAGCCACAGACTTTAGACACATACTTGCCATTCCTTTATCCAACTCATTAATGAAAATATTGAATAGCCCCATACCCATGACTGGCCCCTGCAGACCCCCACTAGATATGTCCCCCCCAGTTTGACAGTGAACCCTTGATAACCACTCTTTGAGTCAGGGTTTTCATCCAATTTTGCAGCCTCTTTATAGTAATCGCACCTAGACCATGTCTCCCTAGTTTGCCCATGAGACGGGTTGGGGACAATTGGAGGGGGGCTGTTGGATGTTAGGCTAGTAGACACATAGTTCGGGGGGAGCTAGCGTGAGGGGAGTGGGGTTAGGACGTGAAGGGGGGTGGTATTGGGGTATAGGCTATTTGCTTATGCAGATAAACGGGCAGCACTCCAGGAGGCTGAAAGCATTTGGGGGCTGTGAGTAGAGGCTGAGGGCACTGGGGAGAAGCTGCAGGTGGCTGAGAAAGCTTGGGGGAGGTGGCGCCAGAGCGAGGGGCTAAGTATGGGGGGACCCTCGGGTGACCAGATAGCAAGTGTGAAAAATCAGAACAGGTGGTGGGGGGTAATAGGCCTCTATATAAGAAAAAGCCACAAATATCAGCACTGTCCCTATAAAATCAGGACACCTGGTCATCCTAGGGGACCCTGAGGGGCTTTGCGGAAAGAGATTGGGAAGGGGAAGGTTTCTGGGCAGGCCACACAGTACCTGGGGCCTAGGGTGCAGCGAGCCCCTCCCCGCAGCGAGTTCCGGGGGGGCGGCCGCTGCACAAGCCCAGCCCCCTCGGCGTGCGGGGCGGGGACGGGACGGCGGCGGGAGGCTCCGCAGCGGCTGCAGCCCCAGCAGCAGCGCCGGCGCCGCCGAACCCCGATGCCACCCCTGCAGCGGCTCGCCAGGGAAGATGGCGCCGTCCCACGTCCTCAAGTGCTGCCAGAGGGTGCTGGCCTGGGTGCCCGTGGTCTTCATCGCCCTGGTGGTGGCCTGGTCCTACTACGCCTACGTGGTGGAGCTGTGTGCGTGTGAGTGTCCGCGAGCGGGCGGCTGCCCCGGCCAGGGAAGGGCGGCCGGAGGTGGCGCTCCCACTTCCCCCAGCAGCCCGGGGGGTGGATCCGCCTCCCGGGGGGGGCAGCGGCTGTGAGAGAGGGGAGTCCCCCCCGGTTACCTCCGCGGTGCCCCGGCTCCCCGATCTCGGCCCCCAAATCCCGTCTCTCCTCCGCCTGCTGGTCGCGGGGCTGAGACCCGTGTGTCATGCGGGCCCCTCCCAGGGGGTTCCCCGCTCGCTTGGGGGTGCCTGTCGCCTGTCCTCCCTCTGGTGTCCGTCCCCGGGGTGTCCGTGGCTGCCGCCTGTCACTTCAGCTAGCCGGGTACCGAGCTGCTTGGGGGATGTTTCAGCACTTGGATGTTGCCCTGTGTGAGGCTGCTGGGTTGCTTGTTTGTGTCCCTCACACTTGGGAAGTAGCAGGCTGAGAGCCGCAGGGGTGGTGGTGTAGCTCCTGTTTAAATTGTGTCAACTGGCCCTTGTGCCCAAGGGTGTCCCGCAGATCTGCTTTTTTAAAAATGGCCCTTTAACTTGGTAGCATTTGAGAGGGAGGCAGCGGCAGTTCCTTGGTTTCTGCAAGCTTGAGGGGTGCTGCACCCGTCCTTGCTGACTGTCTGTGGGAGAGCATCCAGCAGAGTGCCGAAGTGGTGGTGATAATAGGCCTAGAGTCTCATAAACGAAGGCTTCTTGGGGGAAAGACCAGGGTGCCAAAGAACCTAGAAGAGTGAAAAGTGAGGAAGGAATGGGCTGTGGGGAAGAGATGTGTGAGAGGGATGTAAAAGGCCTGGGATGGTCTGGAGAAGGACTGAACTCACTGCCACTTGAAGTCAATAAAAGTGGCTCAGGGCCTCTCAGAAATCTGCCTTTAGGATCATTGTAACTTGCGCCAGCCTTTGGTTAATTCCTTCACCATCCATGGTTTCTTCCCTACTTAAAGGGGTAACATTATTTATGTGTGTTGCCACTTTTTTGTTAGCTTTTGTTTTGTTTAGACACTGTTCTTTCATCCCCTCCCCTACCCCCACCCCCATGATGTGGGGAATTTTTTAACTGAACCACTGTTGGTTGTCTTCTTTTAAAAATAAACTGGGCTAGAAGTTCATGTTTTAGAAAGTAAAACTTTTTGAGTTCTTTAGTGTTCTGTCCCTCTTCTGATAATGAATCCTAAAACCCAGTGTCACTGAAATGTGATTAGAGTGAAATCTTTTGACTTAGACAGTAGGGAAAAGGGATTTAGAGCTTAGATGTTTCATACTGTCAGGCTACTGGTAGTGTAGTTCAGTGTTATGTAAATCTTATTTGTAGACCCTGTCATTCAGGATGATATTTATCCTTTTCTTATATTTAGATCTCAATTTAGACTGAAGTCTTATGGCATTGTTCGGTTCAGATCATTTGTTCATTTAATAATAATAAATACATTGCACTTACATAATTCATCAGAACTTCAAAGCATGTAAAAACATAATAAAGACATGTAGTGTTTCAAATCTCTAGGTAGTCTATGTAAAAGAGTTGAAATGCATAAAAATAATAGATGGGAAGACAGAAGAGTGCACAACTACTATAATATAAGGACTGCCAGTTAATCACGTGATTAACTCAAAAAAATTAATCATGATTAATCGCACTGTTAAACAATAGAATACCAACTGAAATTTATTAAATATTTTTGATGTTTTTCTACATTTTCAAATATATTGATTTCAATTATAACACAGAATATGAAGTGTACAGTGCTCACTTTATATTATTTTTGCTTACAAATATTTGCACTTTAAAATGATAAAAAGTAGTATTTTTCAATACACCTCATACAAGTACTGTTGTGCAATCTCTTTATCATGAAAGTGTAACTTCAAATGAGTTTGTTTTGTTACATAACTCCACTCAAAACCAAAAAAATGTACAAGTTCACTCAGTCCTACTTCTCGTTCAGTGAATTGCGAGTTTGTTTACGTTTATGGGAGATAATGCTGTCCACTTCTTAATAACAGTGTCACCTGAAAGCGAGAACAGGCGTTCGCATGGCACTATTGTAGCTGGCATTGCAAGATATTTACGTGCCAGCTGCGCTAAAGATTCCTATGCCTCTTCATGCTTTGAGCATCATTCCAGAGGACATGCTTCCATGCTGATGATGCTGGTTAAAAAAATAATGCGTTAATTAAATTAGTGACTGAACTCCTTGGAGGAGAATTGTATGTCTGCTGCTCTGTTTTACCCACATTCTGCCATATATTTCATGTTATAGCAGTCTCAGATGATGACTCAGCACATGTTGTTCATTTTAAGAACACTTTCATTGCAAATTTAAGACAAAATGCAAAGAAGATACCAATGTGACATTTCTAAAGATAGCTACAGCACTCGACCCAAGATTTAAGTATCTGAAGTGCCTTCCAAAATCTGAGAGGTGTGAAGTATGCTTTCAGAAGTCTTAAAAGAGCAACACTCTGACGTGGAAACACAGAACCCAAACCACCAAAAAAGAATATCAACCTTCTGCTGGTGACATCTGACTCAGACAATGAAAATGAACATTCATCAGTCCGCACTGCTTTGGATCGTTATCGAGCAGAACCCGTCGTCCGCATGGATGCATGTGACTTATGAGGAGAGGCTGAGGGAACTGGGATTGTTTAGTCTCCAGAAGAGAA